CCTGCGGGCGCAGGGAGGAGTCAGAGCTGAGGAGGAGTGCCCTGCGGGCGCAGGGAGGAGTCAGAGCTGAGGAGGAGTGCCCTGTGGGTGTCCGGAGGAGTCAGTGCTGAGCAGAGCGCCTGGAACAGAGCCACGGGGCACCATCGCTGCCTAGTGACGTCCTTCTGCACTGCACTCCCTGCCGTGCTGTTATCAGTCCCTCTGTCCGAACGGGTCCTCCTCTTCTTCTGCTTTCTTTCATGACTGTTGTTGCTGTCTCACACTCACTCATGCACTTACTGAATAAATGGTCGCCAAAGACCCTCAGGCCCTGCACTTACCCTCTGGAGCAGCTTGCTCTTCAGGAAGGGCTTGACCACATTATAGGTGGTGGTGAAGTACCACGGCTGGTGGATGAAGTGGATGGCCTTGAACCGGGCTGGGAAGGAGTCCTGCCGCGACACAGGAAAAACCCATGACCTCAGAGGCTCTGCCTGGCCCCCTGCTCCCTCGTCCCTTGGTATGGATGGACTTAGCGCCAAGCCTTCCACAATTACCAGACTTCACTAAAGGTCCATCTCAGAACCAGCCCCCACAAGTCGGGGAGCCCAAGGCTCTCCCTGATGACATAAGAATCCTTAGAAGTAGGTGATGCCATGGGTAAAACATTAGGTTACTCACAGAAAGATTAGCAATTTGAATCCACCAGCCACCCTATAGGAGATAGCTCCCACAGTTTGCTTTCCTGAGGATTTAAAAGTTTGGAAACCCCAAGGGGCAGTTCCCCTCCGTCCCACAGGGCCTCTATGAGTTGAAACTGGCTGCATCAGAGTGAATCAAAGAATTTAAAGAATAAAATGATAACCTTATTTGGTTTTTAGGTGACTGAGCTTTTTCAAACCCACTTGACTGCTAAGAGGACCACAGGGACACTCTTTTCATGCCTCGCTGTCCTTCAGCCCCTCCCATGGCCCCCAAGGTTCCTTTTATGATACACACACACACAAGCTAGGTTTAAGGTTAGCTCTCAGAAAGGACTTGTGACACAGCAGACAATCTGGAGTGAGTTGTTAGGAAGGTTAATAATATCCCTTTATCTGGATAAATTCACAGTCGAAGGCAGGTATTATGTTGTAAACAGACAGAACATGGGATTCCAGGTCAGAAGAAGTAGGTTCACGCCCAGCTCTGTCACATCATAGAAGTCATTTACACTTCAGAGCCTCCATTTCTAGGTTTGTAACATGAAGCAGAGAAGCAGGGAGCAAGGACTCAAAAGAAGTCAATGAAATAATGTACAGGAAGACTTGGCAAACTGTCCATCGCTGTGCGAGCGTGATTAGGACTGGGGTTGCATTACTCTTTAACGGCACGAGGTGTCTGCCTTCTCAGGTTCCTTCACCGTGAAGCCAGGGCCCCAGGTCCAGCCTCACCGCCCGGAGGGGCTCCTGCAGAACGGGGTTCTCTGGCCTCACCTGGAGCATGTCCACCATCTTCCTGAGATCCGAAGGCCGCAGTCCAGCAGCCTGCTGCATGGTGAAGCCCTTGAAATTCTCAATGATGCAGAAGCCATTAATTTGGGTTTCCTCATTATCCAACAGTTTCTCCAGGATGAAGCAATATGCCTGCAAGATCTTAATCAGAGTGCACAGTGTAAGAGTCAACAGACTGGAGGCTCGAGGTCTGGAGAGGAGACCTACTGGGCACAGCCTTTATCACAGGTAATTTGTCACAGGCATTGAGCTGGCTATTCTGCCTCTGTGAATACCTCCCATGAAAATAACCTTGAGTGTCAGATTCATGGTTAGATGCTGGGTTAGATCCCAGTACTTTATATAATGAAAACAACCTAAATGTTCAACCAAAAGAGACTGGTTTAATTAAGGTCAGGAGTCCCAGGTGGTACAAATGGTTAATACACTCAGTTGATGATCGAGAAACTGGAGACTCAGATCCGTTCAGAAGAAAGGGCTAGTAATGTACTTCTAAAAAAGTCAGCCATTGAAAATCTATAGAGTGCAGTTCTCCCCTGACTTCGTGACTCATCAGCAATTGCTTGGTCTGTTTCGTTCTAGTACACTCACGTTATGGAATATTCTGAAGCAGTTGAAAAATGTTTTAAACTAATGTTATGTTTTGTCAAGTTGGAACTGACACATAACCGACCCTCTAGTGGGTTTTCAGAGGAAATCACACAGAAGGAGATTGTTCATCTTCCACAAAGCTGCTGGTGGATTCGAGCCACATGCATTTGGGTTCACAGTGTACCTCCTTACCACAAAGCTACCAGAGCAACTCCTCACCACTACCCCACCAGAACTCCCCTTTAAGCCAATACTAAGGGAGAATATTCATGTCATATTATTACGGAAAAATACCAGGAAATATTTTGTAGGGTGTGCTTTCGTATTTTAAAATCTGCATAAAAGTAAACTTCTTTTGTTTAATTTATTTTTAATTTGGTATACTGTCGAATTGGATCCGACTGGCACAGGAGGAAATTGCCCCTCGAGACTGCAGTGCAGCTTCTTGCCACTAGGCCACCAGAGCTCCCTAAAAGCAAACTTCTATACAAAAAAAGAAAAACACTGGTATATGTCAATGACAGATATTTCTAGGTGTTAGGATCATGGATGATCTTAAGTTTGTGACTTCTTTGGTATTCTTTAAAGTGAACAGATATTACTTTTATAATTAGAAATATATATAATTCTATATATCGAGAGAGAGCTCTGGTGGCCTAATGAGTAAATTGTTGTGCTGCCAACCCAAAGACAGGTGGTTCAAATCCACCAGCTGCTTCATGAGAGAAAGATACATGATCTCCCAGGCAATTTACAGGCTCTGAAAACCCAGTGGAGGGTCAGCTCTGAGTTAGTTTCAACTTGACAGCACATAACAACAACAACATATAAATATATACTCCCATAGAGTGTATATATATATATATAAAATTTCAAATAACTCATTCTTAAAATATATATGCCTCCATCCTAACGTCAGTGTTTTATTTAGTAGCAAAATAGTAGCAGTATTCTTAATAATGAGGGCACAAGATAAAGACATACATTACCTCTACCATCATTTAACTTTGTACTGAAAGTGTTAGCCAATGCAACCAATGTTTTTTGGAAATAAGACAAAATAAAACCAGGGGAAGAGTAGTAAGAAAATAAAAACAACCACTACCAAATTTCTCCTTGATTTTTAGATGATATGATGATATACTTGGCAAACTCTAGCATATCAGCCATAAAAATACAAACTAATTCAGCCTAATAGCAGGGTTGAAAATGAACATATAAAATCAATAATCTTCACATATATAGATGATAGTAAATAGATATGTGGCAGCAGGGGGATTCAAACCCACACTATTGAAATGACTGGAACCTAAATCTAGCACCTCAGACCAGTTAACCACACTACCACCTGAACACTCTGTTCCTCTGGGATTTGAACCCGGTAGCTTTTGCACCAAAGTGAGACTCATACACCTAGATCAAAAAGAGAAAAACTTCATTGATAGCAACAGTGGCCAAATAAAATATTTATAATAAATTTAATGAGAAGTGTTCAAGATTTTTTTAGGAAGACTAGAACAGTTCTGAGGCCACAAAAAAAGTTCTGGATAAAAGGAAAGGTATGTCTTGTTGGGACACAGTAAAACTGGTCACAGATGTGATACTCACCAAGGTGTCAACGTGCTGCAAGTTCATATATTCATTAAATGCGATTGCAGTGGAACAACTCACAACATTTCTAGAAATAAGCCCAAAACTGCCAGTGGGTTGATTCCAATAGATAAGAAAGTTTACTTAAGGGTTGATTAGAAAAAAATTTAAAAAGCAAACAAAACAAAAATAAGTTGATCAGAAAAAATAAGCTCTCAGAGGTGCACGGTTCAAATCCACCAGATGCTCTGCTGGAGAAGGAGGAACAATCTCCTCCTGTACCAGTCAGATCTGATTTGATGATACGATACACACAAAAAATAATGAAATAAAATTTAAAAAATTTTAAAAAAAGAAAAAGAAAAAATAAGCATGCAAGGAAAATGAATAAAGACTATCTTTAAATGTGGGGGAGTGGGGAGGAAGAATAGTTAGGAAAACCCTGCTGAAAAGAACTAGCCCAAACAGATACTCAACACCATATTAAACCTCTCTCTTTAAAATAGTGTGGTACTGGAGCACAAATCAGATCAACGGAAAAGAATAGAAAACCCAAGTATCTACAGAAATTGTGTCCCTGAATGATGCAAATAGTCAATGTACTAGGCTGCTAATCAGAGTTGGGGGTTCAAATGCACGCAGAGATGCCCTAGAAGGAAGGTCAGCTATTAACAGACCTATAGCAGTCCACAGGTCTGCTCTGACACCTACAAGGCCCCCAGAAACCACGCTTGGCTCCTCGGCAACTAGGTGTGTTTTTTTAATATGGAAATATAGAAAATTATCAAGATAATAAGAGACTATCTGCAGTCACACAGTGATAAGTGTCATTGGATAAGTAGTTCCTAAAATGAGTTTGCATTCTTTTTTTTAAAAATAAGAAAAAATTATTTTTAAAAGAATGGTGACATATGCCAAAGTTCTCCAATGACAAACACTAACTCCCAACCTGAAGCAACCCTCTTAAGGCCTCCACATGCAAAAGGGGGTAGACAGTAGTACAAAGGACTGTGAGTCAGCGCCCCTGTTCTCAGCTGAGTGACCTCAGGCAGGTTGAGCACAGCCTCTCTGGACTTCAGTGCCCTGGTTTGCAGCAGGATTGACACCTGTGCCTTTCGGGAGCCGCAGTGCACTAATCCCAATTCTCTCTGTTGCGCTCAGTTTTCAGCCTTTGACAGAGCTGCCCATGGCTGGGACTGCAACCCTTGCCTGCATTGGACAGGGGGATACCCAGGGGTAACCACTGGACCCAGCCTCCAAAGCTGCTGGGGTTTCCAGCTGCCCCAGCACATCCCAAAAATTCTCCCCTATGTCTAGAAAGAACTGGTGGCAGGCTGCATTTCTCCCCATAGATCTCAACCTCTAGGGAATCAGGAATGAAAAGTCATTAGAAACTGGGGAGTGGGAGAGGAAGTCAGCCTCTGGGGCTGGAGGGAAGCCAGGTGAATCCCCACTGACCTCATCAAAGGTGATTTCCTCACAGTCCCAGTTCTCGATGTTGAAGAGCATGACCACTCGGCCATACTTGTCCCGACTGGAGAGGACTCCAGGATAGCCGGCCTCAATGGTGCAGCGGATAGCCTCGGGAGACATACTGTCAAAGAGCTCTGGGTACTGCAGCCGGAAGTTCACGTAGCCTGGAGGAAGAGAGTAGCAGGGGTCCCCCTCAGGGAGCAGCCCCTCACTGGCCCACCACACCCAACCTCTTGGGGTGGTGGCCCACAGTGGACATCTAAAGATGGGGTCTCCAGCCCAGCTCTTCCAACTTAGTCCTTTATGGGGAACAGCAGGCGAATCAACTCTTCTGAGCCTCACTTTTGCCCTCCAAAAATAGGGCTGACAATGGGATATTGTTCTAGCTCACCAAGCTCTTATGGTGATGAAGCTAGACTCTGGTGTGAACACCATTTACCATGCTACCACCAGTGTAATCCTAAATACGGTGGTGATGGTTATTAAGTTCTCATTCTGGAGGAATCAAAACACAGGTTTTCTGGCTGGGTACAGAGCTAAAGCTGAGACACAAGAGAAAAGGCAAACCCCAAGCAAAACACAGACACCCTTCCACTACACACACCCCTACAGCCAGACACACTGCCTTCTAGGCAATTTCAACTCCCAGCAACCCTGTAGGACAGGGTAAGGACTTCCCTGCAGGATCTCCCAAGGAGCGCTGGCAGTGCAGTCTGTAGCATTCTGTAGTGCTCACCAAAAGGCTGAGTGTCTCAAATCCACAAGAGGAAGATGGGTGATTTCCTCTTATTAAGATTTACAGCCTTGGAAACCCAAGTGGCGGATTCCAATGAGTCAAAATTGACGTGAACAAGTGAATGTAGGGTTTCCTGGGCTGAAATGTTTACAGAAGCCGCCAGCCTCACCTTTCTCCCAAGGAGACACTGCCAGGTCTGAACTGCTGACCTTTTGGCTAGCAACCAAGTGCTTTAACCTCCATGCCACCCAGTCTCTCTATGACTCACAAGCTCCGTTGTTAGCCTTCTTGTGCCAGTCAGCTGTCTCTACTATCAAACTTGGGTCCCAGGAAATGTTAAACCCAGAGAGGGTGCTCAGAGAGCCACACAGAGCTCCTCATTGTCCCCGGAACACTCTGCATATGCTCCCACCACCCAGCCTTTGATTTTTGTTCCTTCTGCCTTGATAGGCAGCGCCAATGACCTAGACTACAGGGAGGTGTGCTGCTAACCTAAGACAGTTCCAATTCACCAGCAGCTCCGTGAGCACAAGATGGGCAATCTCCTCCCATGCATCTTAAAGCTTCAGACACCCAGTGGAGCGTCAGCTGTAAGTCAATGCCAACTCAATGACAATGCAAGTTTTTACGAGGGCCTGGATGAAGGAGCTTTGACCACATCGTGCCATATGCATTAGCCTGCTAATTAATTAATTAATTAATTAATTAATTAATCTATCAGTGGTTCAAGTCTCCCAACCTCTCCAAGCGACAACTATGAAATCTCCTCCCATTCAGATTTCCAGCCTTAGCAACCAGCGGAAGATTGCTAGAAGTAGGAACTGAACACCATGCATGTGCTTGGTTTGGGTTTTTTATTTGCCTGAATTGTTCTCCCCACAGATATATCTGTATGGTCAGTTCTCTCCATTTTTCTTTGCCACTGGGCCTGTCTGGTTACCTAAAACTACAACCCCTCAGCCTTTACACTCATCCACCACTTCTAGTTTTCTGTTTACCCCTTACCAATAACTACATATTTCTATTTTATGTAAATAATAATAAGGGACAAAGAGAAAAGGTTTCTTTCCACCATTAGATTATACGCTCCATGAAGGCAGCATTATACTGTTGGGTTCTGTGCCACACGCCTGGGTTGGACAGGACGGCACTGAGTGAACATTTGTGTAACAAGAAAAGAAACAGATGCAAAATATCAGCCTGCAGGGTCTGTTCAGACATCCACCCCCACCTCCACCCAGCATAAGGATTTTATTTCCTGGGGAAACTCGTCTCGAGCCAGCTTTGGGTACCAGGGTGGAGCAAGTTCGTGCCACCTTCCTGGCAGCATCCAGAGCTGAAGCCCAGGCTCCACAGGTCCAGCGGCTGGAGGGGGAGGTGTTTTGGGTTCCTGATTTACGTGGCCCAGTTTCACTCATTAAGTCCCAAGATGGGCAGAGAGAAGGGAACCAGACTGACAGGAATCTAGTCGCAACAGACTCATTCATTGCTGAAAGAATTATTGGAGGCCGGTCAGTCCACACCTCACACACAACCTTCCATTCTACAGAGTGGAGGTCTGGGGCTCAGGGGAAGTGGCTTGTCCACAGCACAGAAGGGAGGCCTCTAGGTGGCTATTGAGTACTGTCTGGTCAGAACTGACCCACAGTTGATTCTCCAGCAGATTTTCAGAGTGAGCTGACAGTGAGTTTTCAGAGGCAGTAAATTGCATGGGAGTTGATTGCCCATCTTTCTCCCACGGAGCAGCTGGTGGATTCAAACCACATACCTCTGAGTAGGAGGTGTAATGCCTTACCACTAAGCCACCAGAGCTCCAACGTAAGTGCTTGGATGAGGGTGAACACCTCATGATACATACCCCGACCATCTCCCACCTCCCCATCTTCACACCCCGCCCATACCCCACTCCCATCCCACAGACCCCAGCCTGGGATCTCACCCTTGAGCAGCTCATAGGCGCGCTTCACGTCGAACTTGCGCGCACGGATAAAGCGGAGGAAGAAGGTGGTGTCCCTTCCCTGGACTCTCTCAGCCACTGCCTGGGCCAGCTCCTCGCCTGTGGCCGCCTGCTCCCGCACCAGGTCCTGCAGCTCTTGCACCATCTCAGACCGAGTCTCCTCTCGCTCATTCAGCTCGTCCTTGGCCTGAAACAAGGAGGAAGGAGACCCGAGTCAGAAGCAGCCGTAGTGATGGAGCAGGACACAGAAGTGACCCCCACACACACTCCAGACCCTGTTGGGAGGCTGTACCAGAGTCTCCACTTTTGTCCACACTAGCAGCACCTTGGATTGTCCTTTCTAGACAAAAATTAGGTGAAACAGCCCATGGTAGATGAAAGCCCTGGTGACATTGCTAGATGCTAATTGACGGGTCTCCCACCCCACCAGCTGCTCAGCTTTCATAAATATTTACAGCCTTGGAAAACCTTGGGGGCAGTTCTGCTCTGCCCTACAGGGTCACTGAGTTGGAATCAACTCAACCATCAGTGAGTCTGAGGTTGGTTTGCAGGATACATGCCACAACCACAGTGTTTCTAGTAATGACAGTTTATACTCCGTGAGAGCTCATTTAGCGCAAGCTAAGGCCTTTTGAAAACAATGCTGTTGTTGTTATGTGTCATGGACCCTCCAGTGTGTTTGCAGACGTCGTAAATCGCAAGGGGTCATGGGGACACTGTCCATCTTTCTACCTTGGAGCATCTCATAGATCCAAACCTCACTCCTTTGGGCTGGCAATGCAGTTTCTTACCTCTAGACTACCAGAGCTCTAGGAAAACATTAGTTAGGTGTTTTAATCTTTGCCACAACTCTTCCCACCTGGTATTCTGATCCCCATCTCACAGATGAGCAAACTGAGGTTCACAGGTATTGACTTTCCCAAGACCACCCAGATAGAAAGCACTGTGCTATGGAGTTGGAGCCAACTCATAGCTGACCTCCCAGAGTTTGTCAGAGGCTCGTAGAAAATGGCAATGCCAAGACTCCTACATAGATGTACTTTTAACCTCTTCACTCTGCTCTGTGTCCTCACTCCCAAATTAATTTTGACCTTTTCAAAAACAGAACTACCTAGCAGATGGCAGTCTGCCCCTGCCAGTCCAGGAGCACTGGCTGTGCTTCAGAGGCATCAGCAGCCCTCCCCTTTGGCATAAGACAGGTGAAGGCAGAGAGGAAACCGACTGCAGGGGAATTCTAACGGAGCTTTCTTGAGATGCCTAGAAGGTGACATCTGGCCAACTCCTTGGGAGTCACCCAGACTAGAGAGTCTTGTACATCAATGGTGGGCCTGCCTTGAGATGGACTGAGAGAAAGGTAACCAGGAGCCTGACTTCAGCTCAGCCCCATTTTACAGCCCCACCCCCCATACACACACACAACAGCAGCTCCACGACAGCACTGCCAGTTTCTACAGGGCAGAATCTCCACTGAGTTGGCCCAGCCATCTTCCACAGGTGAAGAAAGTGAGACCCAGAGAGGAAAAGTAACGTGCTCAAGGCAGCACAGCAAGTTGAGAGTGGGTTTGGGTCTAGATCCCAGGCTTCCTGCCTATGCAACGGGGGCAACCGCTGGAATGTGTTCCTCGGAGCTACTTCCAAACTATTGCCCCTCATATCTGAATCCAGGCTGAGGACGGATCTAGAGGCTCCAGGCAGTGGCATTGATTTCTGGGAGCTCTGCTTGTGTTATATCCTTGGGCTAGCCTGGCCTGGGGATCTAACCAGCCCAGCATCTGCCATGGCCTTGACCTCCAGGATGGGCTCTGGAACAGACCCCCAGGGTGACCTGAGAAGCTGGAACTGGACCCTCTTTCTTCCTCCAGGAGAGGATGCAGTCAACAGTCCCTCCTCCATGCTGCCCCCCAACCCAACACTCCGTGGACTACCTCACCTTCTGCAAGGTGTGCCGGGGCAGCTGGCTACACCGGCCAAAGACAGGCCCGTGGTCCTTGGTTGTGAGCCGCTCCATCTGGCAGTGGAGATCCTGCTCCTCTTCAGGGACCATGCGGAATGTGCCCACCTGGAGAGGAGACCGGAGACCGGAAGAAGCAGTAGGGGGGCTATGTCCGCCTCAGCAAGCCAGGCCAGTGGGCTTGCTCAGACCCTAAACCAGGTCTCTTGTTCAGCATCTCTGTCAAGCCAACCTTCAGGCAGGGTCTGATACCACAGAGAAATGACAGTGCGAAGAGAGAGACAGCAGAGAGGGAAGGAGGGAGGGCAGGTGAAATTGAGCGCTCAGGCCCGGGGGTACTCACTCCCTCTGACATGTTGCCTCTGGAAGATAGTGCGTCCTCAAAAGAAGAAGGGCTCCACTTCCTCTGTCCTGGCTCCTCCAGGCAGCACCCTTCCTAAGGTAGAAAGTTAGGGCTGCAGTGATATTTCAGAGACTGCAACCTTTCACTGCTTTGGAACCAAATCCAAACCAAATCCAAATAGTCCTTGAGTCAATCCCAACTTATGGGGACCCGCCATCAGTTTTCTGAGGCTGTAAATCTTACCGGGAAGATATTGCCCATCTTTTTTTCTTGAGGAGCGGTGGGTGGATTTGAACCACTAACCTTTCAGTTAGCACTCCAGCGCGTAACACACTATGCCACCTTAACAGTGGAGCTCAAGCTTGGAATTACATCAGAATTACCTGGGCGTCTGTAAGGAATGCAGATGCCTGGGCCCAGCCTTTTGTGATTCTGATTCAAGAGGTCTGGCCCAGAAATCTTGCTACACTTTGGGAAACACTGCTTTGCAAAAGAATACACAAATAAATCAAACTTCAGCCCTTCAAAGGCGTTGGCTCAGCTAGGAAAGCACTATGTGATCTGAGCGACAATCTCTCTACAGAGCAAAGCAGCCCTATAATCCAGTCCCTCAGATCGTCCCTCCTCCCACTGGCCCCTCCTTCCCTGACCCAAAGAAACTCTGGGCTAGTGGATTTCCTTTGTTCACTGGAAGGAGTGGTGACCAGTTACATAATTATAATACTGGATGTGTGTTCTGTGCTTTGTGGCTCACTAATGATTATGTCAGAGACAGGGCTGGCATTATTAGTCTCATGCCACAAAGGGGGAACAGGTCCAGGAGGACAAATGACTTGTCACCCAGCCAGAAAAATCCAGGGAACAGGACTCCAAACCCAGATGCAACTGAGAGGCAGCAGAGCAAGATGTAAAAGTCAGACCTGGGTTTGAATCCTGTCTCTTCCTCTTGAATGCTGTTATCTAACCTGAGCCTTGCCTTTTCCTTGTAAAAAGAGGATGGGAAACGTATGAAGATTTCATTAAACAATGTACAACATGCAGACAGAGCTTGAGCAGGAAAAATTTCCACTGCCCACCTGAGAACTTGCTTACTTGCTGAGTATTTTCAGATATAGCTCACCTGTTTCCAGGTACTCGTCCATCCCCTGTCCCTTCAAGGACCTCATCCTGCTCTATTTGGTCTGTTCTGTTGGTCAGTTCAGTCTGTGTTCATGGTTGTGAAGTGGCAGAGCTGAGGCTTGAACCTATGTTTACCTAACATCAAATTTGCTTGACATCCAGAGACTGGATATCTCCAGGAAAATTAGAGAGGAAAGTGGGATTGTAAAAATGCTTTAGGGTCCAGAAAAGGAGGGGAGGAATGATGTATATTGCATTGAAACAGATGAGGGAGAGAACGGTTTAAAAGGGATATATGATTAGGTATTACTGTCACGACTGGGGTCCAGAGTGAAGGCTGTATAGTGGAGTGGACTTGGGGGGAGGGATTGCATAACAATGAAAGAGTTTTTCTTTTTCTTTTCAAGGAGAAGAGTGAATTGGGGGGAAGGGGATGGACAGGAAGAAAAATGCAACAATGAATAACTGGAAACCCTAAGTCTCTGTAAACTTTCATTAAAATTGACAAAATAAAAACAAACAAAATGCTTTAGGGTCAGGGACACCTAGATAGCAATGGAGTTTTGTCATTTACCACTTAGGCCAGTTACTAGTTATTTTAACATTTCTGAGCCTCAATTTCCTTATCTAAAAACTGGGAATAAGAATCGCTCTTCCTCCCAAACAAACAAGCAATAAAGCATTATTACTGAGTTGATTCCAACTCAGGAGGACCCCATGCAATGTCCTACCTCTTCTTTCACAGAGTAGAGGTGCGCTCCATAGCGTTTTCAGTGACTTACTTTTTTTAAAGTATTGTTTCCTTCTGAGGTGCCTCTGGATGGCCATGAACCATCAACCTTTTGATTAGTAGCCAAGGACTTAACCATTTTCCCACCCAGGGAAACCTTGTTGCTGTTGTGTGCTGCCTAGTTAGCACCAGCTCAGAGCTGACCCTCTTGCAAGTTTTTAGAAGCCATCAATCGCACAGGAGGAGACTGTCCATCTTTCTCCTGTGGAGCCACTGGTGGATTTGAACCACTTGCCTTTGGGTTGGCAGCACAACTCCTTACCACTTGGCTACCAGAGATCCCTTGGAGATAATAATAAGCCTGTTACCATCTATTGCATTCACTCAAGGCATTCAGTAGTTAAAAAATAGAACTGTCCCATAGGGTTTTCTTGACTGTAATCTTTCTGGAAGCAAATCACTAGGCCTTCCACATCGCTGGTAGGTAGGTTCATTTCATTTACTAGCTGAGGAGAAGCTCTTTGTACCACCCAGAGACCTTAGGGCATAACAACAGTGCATACCAAATAGAGCTGCAATAAAGAGAATACAATTTCTGAAATGTACCTAGCACAAGGTCTTTCTCCAAAACCTAGTTCCCTGCCTCTCTTTCCTTTCCACAGACAGCATCATGCTAATTTGACTCTGGTTTGCACCAAGAGACCTGAACATTCCCAGGGAATATTTGAGGCTCTCCTATCTCCTGCCTTTTCCACTCTATCCTAGAAAGAGCAAAGAAGGTGTGGGAGCTGGAATCCACCAACAGGCACCACGCCGAAGCCATCTCTCCGGCTGGTGAGCTTCCAACTCTGAGAGCTCAGAGACAGACAGACAGAAGTCCTCCTCTGCACCCATTTAGGTTTTGCTGCAACAGTAAAGGAAAGGCTGATAGAAATGCTCCTGGGGTTCAGACTTGAGGGATCATGGTAAGGGGTCACTGGATCAACTCTGACCTACAGTGACCGTTGTACAGGTGGAAGGAAACACTGCCCCAGCCCTGTCCATCCTCATAATTCCTGCTGTGCTCAGTCCCATCTTATTGAGGGTCTTCCTCTTTTTGCTCTCTGCTTTTCTGAGTATGCTGTCCTTTCCCAGGTCCTAGTCCCACCTGGTAACATGTCCAGGGTTTATGAGACAAAGTCTGGCCATCTGGCCTCCAAGGAGAAGTCTGCCTGCGGTGGCTGGATAACTAACTCTAACCAGTTAAGCTGACCTCTGGGACAAGATTCCAGGATTCCAACTCTTAGAAGATTAAAGTCAGTGCAGCATTCCTTTTGTATATTTGCCCAAGCTGCTACCTTTGATTATTAAAAAGGCTCATTTCCTTGCTATTCACGGAATACAATGGGAACATGCCCACCCCTTGCTTCATTTGGACCCCATTTCTAGCTTCAAGTGGCTTGAAAATGTTTTTTTTTGGTTTTGGGGTTGGTTTTGGTTTGTTTTTGTTTTGTTTTGTTTTTGGGGTTTTTTTTTTTCCATTTTTAGAGTTTCCAGATGAAATTCAGAATGCCTGGTTAAATGTCCATGTCTGGTGAACCACAAATAGGTTTGGGATGTTTCCCCCCCAATATAAATCAGCCCCAGGCACCATCTGAGATACACTTATGCTAAAAATATTCTTTGCGGATTATCCAGCATTCACATTTAACTGGGCATCCTGGGCAGTTAACAATTTGGCATTTGCTAAATTTCTATCGGCAAAATTTTCCTTCAAGTTGGCCTGACCCAACCTGGAGAACCACCAGGTAATTTCGGTCCCACTGGTAGCCTGGGACGGAGGTCTCCCCACCGCCCCCACCGCCTCTCCACAAGCCTGGACTCCCCAGTGCAGGAAGCCCAGGGACTGACTTACCCAGCAGGTCAGCAACTCCTCCGTGGGGCCACCTGGCGCTTGAGTCCCCCTGGAAGTTGCCTCCGCTTGGGGGCGGGGTCCGGTCAGGAGGTTAGGATTAGTGTGTCATAAGGAACTGCTCACCGCCCACAGTTTTCCGTTAAATCTGGGCTCACAGGGAGGGGAGGCCAGGAGTAGGGCAGGCGAAGCTCCAGGGGGGAGACTGGAGAGGCTGGGCCAGCAGGAGACTCTTCAAAGGCCTTCTTTGTGTGTGCCTGCTTCCAGTGCCTGCTCAGTCGCGTGGAAGCCAGGCTGGGGGGTGGGATCTAGGCCAACCCCATTCCCTTTTCCCTGTCCTCGCTCTCCTTGGATTTGGGGGTGGGGGACAGGAGTTACTCCTGACAGGGCATCTCCTAGAATAAGGGATAGAAGAGGCAGAGAAATTGTAAATGTGAATGTGGAGCCAGGGCCTGTCACCGAACCCTACAGTGTGGCAGTTCTCGCCTTCACAGTGAACGAGAATGACTGGGAAATGTCGCTGGTGAAGGCTGAGCCAGGAGTGGACAAGACAGGCTGTCCAGCTTTCCAGGTGGTGGATACAGTTTAAATCTTATGGTAAAGCTCATGTTTAAATCCTAGATTTAATTACTTACTAGCTGTCAGAACAGAACAGTCACCGTCCAGTGATTCTGTTTCCTCTCAGAAGCAGAGATAATCTGAGGATCAGGTTCATAACTTTAGTGTGGTTGGAATGGCAGTAAAGGGCTTAGCTCGACACTTGCCACATGTTAGGTGCCGTCAAATCGAGTACAAATCAGCGACTCTTATGAACAGCCAACCTGAACCCTGCCCTCTTCTGTGCCATCCTCATCATCTCTGACACACTAGAGCCCATTGCTGAATCTCGTTGGCGGTCTCCCTCTCCTCTGCTGACCCTCCATCTTCCCAAGCCTTATATCCCTTTCCAAGGACTAGCCTCACCTAAATCCTGAATGCAGCCAGGCATCTGTGGTTATCAGGTGCCATAGAGCCAAATTCGACTCATGTTGTTGTTGTTAATGTGCCATCGAGTCGTTTGAGACTCATAGTGACGCGACACACCCATCTGGATTACCCCAGTCACTGAATCAATCCACCTTATAGAGGGTCTTCCCCTCCTGCACGGTCCCTCATAGAGACCCTATAAACCGGTCTGAACCCCGTCCTGTCCTGTGCCATCCACATCATCTCTGACACACTTGAGCCCATTGCTGCAGTAACTGTGTCAGTCCATCTGCCTGGGGGTCTTCC